ACCAGTCTGGAAAGAACGCATCTGAACGACGATATCGGTTCCGATAAGCGCAGCCTGCAAGAGAGCACGTGTTATTCCCGAGGAATACGCTACAGTCACGTCCCCACGTTCGCACTGCTCGTTATCGTGATAGTCAGATCTATTTAGTATGCTGAGGAGAAAAAATGTTTGGTATTTGTAACCATAATCACATAGAAAAATAATTGCTATAAATTATGATCAAGGAAGCTATTTTTTATTAAATTCTATTATAACGTAAGTGATAATAATCTCATATGAGTGTTGATACTACCATTTTCGTTGAAACGAAAAATATTGTTGGGACCAAAAATGACTACAATTTTATTTCGATCGACTATTTTTTCTATACATGAAGAAAAAAATGTTTGTAACTATAGTCACATAGAGAAATAGCTACTATAAATTACTAAATTACTCAAAAAAGTTATTTTTTTTTATTAAAGTCTACTATAATGTTAACCCTTCGTATTCACACTGGGGTCTCTGGGACTCCAGCGCAACTTTCTCTTTTGTCGCGTTTCTTTTCTCTTTTAACCCGTATATCTCGGAACTCCTTAATTCTATCGATTTTTATTCATTATAGGCTTGTTCCTTAATCAATTCTTTATCGATTAAAAAAAAGTGAATTGAAATATGTCAATTTTTTATAGAGTTACAATAAAAAATATGGGTGGGGACTCCAGTGTGTATAGTAGAGATAGGCAATACCAACATCGATTATAGTTATAATCGATTATTTCTTTTCGATACATACAGTAGAGATGGGCGATACCGATACCGATTATAGCTTATAATCGATTATTTTTGTTCAATGTCCCATTTCTACACTGAGAAAAAAATTCACTAAATTTCAAAAAACGTTTGTTTGGATAGTACTGTAAAGATATTTGTTTAAATTAAGTAATTATTTTCTAAAAGTAAATAAAGAAGTTTTAAATATAAATTTGCTTCTTTAATTTTAGAAAATAATTACTTAATTTAAACAAATATCTTCACAGTACTATCCAAACAAACGTTTTTTGAAATTTAGTAAATTTTTTCTCAGTGTAGTGTATAGTACGTTGGCAAAATGTAAGTGTGTATACGGAGGGTTAATGATAACAATCTGATATATGCATATTACTATCATTTTCATGCTGGAACAATCAAGAAATATGGTTGGCGCCAGAAATGACGAAAAATTTTAGTTAGATCGACCATTTTCTTCTTTCAGGGTCGGTTGTTCCCACTTCTTGGTAAGTTAACTGATAGTTAAATCATATGTCTGTCTTTGTCTAAAAAAAAAAAAAAAAGAAATTGAAGGAAAAACAAAGACAAACATATAATTTAACTATCAGTTAACTTACCAAGAAGGTTGGAACAACCGGCCCTCAGCGTATCGAGTCATTTATTTGTAACACATGGATCATCCGTGCGTGCGGAATCGCGCAAGACGCTGAGCTCCTCCGTTCACGGCGTCTATTATTCGAGTGCGTTTTCGAGTTCGTTCGGTTTCAGGGATTATCCAGAGAGGAAAAGCGAACAAGACACGAGCTGCGCGCAGTGTGTACGCGGACGTGCAACAAGCGTGTCGGCAGGCACATACACAGCGGAGTATATAGGTAACCGCGCTATGTACTCCGCTATCCACGCGCCTAGCTGGCGCCCGACGTATACTTTATCGTCTTTCTAAACTCGCTATCGCCGAGAGAGACAAAATTTCTCGATATTTATTATTTCGAGCACCGCGCTGCCGTGTACGCCTTTGTCCGCAGTTATTCCGTGAGTACACGTGAGTATGAGTAACCCGAAGAAAACTAGGGATGCTGGTGTGTACACAGAGAGAACGATTTGGTTGAATCAAATAAACGCTTCTTTGGAATAGTCCAAACGAATTTTTTGATTGATTGAACAAAATTTTGTTTGAAGCAACAAAAATATTTGCGGTTTAGTTCCAAAGAAATATTTTTGTTGTGTCAACCAAATAATTTGTTTGGACTATTCCAAAGAAACATTGATTCGATAAATCGTTCTCTCTGTGTATGTGAGAAATAATAAATTACGTCGCCGACGACGTCGGCAAGGTTTCTTCTACTCTAACGTTAAAAACTGTGCATCGCTAGACTAAGTAAAGTATAAATAAGAACCGTGCACACGCGGAGAACTCGTGTAACATTCTGAAAACTCGTGACGATTATTGATATCTCTTCAGGAATTAAATTTACATTAAAATTTGAAGAGAATTATTTAATTTTTAAGTGACATCTCTGCCGGTCATTTGACAAGATTTCTCGTTTTCTTGTAAAATTTTTGGGTTAACGTTTATTCACCATAATGTTCGCATTATATTCTTGCTGACTCAGAGAAGAAGATAGTGATAGCAACAAGTTTTGTACATAGAATTCTGTGTGTGTATATATGTATATATGTATATATATATATATATATATATATATATATATATATATATAGTTTATTAAAAACTATGTACACATTAATTCTGCATACTCGTATACACAAAACTCGTATAATTGTCATTACTGTTTTTCTCTAAAGTAAATTAATTATTAATTTCACTTTATATGTATTCACTTTATAGACAAATATTTGTTACTTCAGCTACATTGCCAAAAAGGGGACTTGATTCACACAAAAAAATTATCTTAAACACATCCGTCCATATATTAAGCTTTTTTCTATATTTTTATTCTTAGTTCTATAACTGTTCTCACAATAGTTATAGTCTATTTCGCAATTTAAATTTTCATCCTTTCACTTACTATTTATCACAGTCATTACATTATCCAATCTGCTTATTCCAATTTACCTATCTACTATCGCAACATTGTATCGCTACTTCTTGACCCCTTTACATCTTCATCGTATAATCTACCACATCACTTCCTAACTCTTCAAACCATCCTTTCGTAGTCTGACGCCTATCCACATAATGCCTCATACAATCCTGACCTTTTCCGCAAAGTACACGTATCCTATCTACTTCCCCTATCCAATATTTTTTTCATATTTTCCATATTCTCACATCTTAATTTAACTAACGCTCTCATACTACACTGAGAAAAAATTCTTGAAAATTTATTTGTAGGATAAGAATTGGTTTCACAGAAACAAATTTTATTTTTCAGAAATATACTTTATTTCACGGAAATAAATTTTGTATCACACAAATAAATTTCCAAGTATCTTTTCCTCAGTGTATTACCCACCCAAGTTCTCCTTCCTCGGATAATTAAAGCCACTTCCATCTATTTTTATTTTTTATATTTCTCGATATATCTCGCACTCACAGATTCTTCTTTTTATTATCATAGAACCGGCGGTTCTATTCCCCTCCTATTACTAATCATATCGTTAAAGAAGGGAGAAGTAGTCGACGTTGACGCTGGCAGGCGCCGTTCGCGAACGTAAATCTATCGATCGATCGTGAATCATTTGTACGTCGCGCGACGCGAACGTTCGCCCCGCACGCTCGCGCTCGGCTCAGCTTCAGTAAACGATTTTATTTCTCGCGTCGAGCATTCCACGAACGACGATCGACCCCTTTCGAGGTAGTTTACACTATCGCGTAATAGCCTTTGTTTTTTTTCCCCTCTTTTTTTTCGCAACCGTTTGAGCAAACTCTTTGGCGCCGAATGGCAGCGCATAGATCTCGTTCTCTCACCCTGCGGGACGTATATTGGCTCCACAATTGAGCGATTTACGTCTTTAAAAGTAACGCGCGAGGTTTCTTCTACTTCAACAAAAATTATAAACATATACGCGCGCGTACACGTGCATACACACACAGATAAACACACACAGAGATAAAGAGGGATAGAACATTTGATTATCTTCAATGGAGGAAGAGCGACTGCAAAGTATAAACGTGCTCTCGCACTGTAGAAAAGCTTATCGCGTTTTTGATAAAGTTTCTCTCTTAAATCGATTGAACGCGTTATCGCAGTTACAAGTATATGCGAGCAATTGCAAATATGACTCGTCTTATGAACGTATATCGATCATTCCATCGACCTTGCATAAGTTGCTGATTCTTTTGACGAATTTTCCGATTTCTGGAAAATCTCAATGTAGATTCCCGGTTGCCACTTCATTATCCTCGTACTACAAACATGAGATCGAATTAATACGATAGTCACTATCCTTGAGGAGATACGAATTGCTAAATTCGCGAGAATTAGCAAAACAAGCGTGTCAGGCACGTGCGCGGTCCGTGTTTCCTGCGATCATTTGCACGCGAGTATCTCACCTTCGCTAGCAGTATGAACAGCGGAATGCTCTCGTGCACAAGTGCGTTAAAACAATTCGCGAAAGCGACCTGTCATCGTGGAGTGTGTGTGAGAGACAGAGAAAGATATATATATATATATATATATATATAGAGAGAGAGAGAGAGAGAGAGAGAGAGAGAGATGCGCGTGCGTGATTAGTGATCTGCCAGACGACGCGTCGAAGAGATCGAGCGCGTTTCTGTCACCGGCAAATCCACTCGCCGAGATTTTCATGGCGGGAAACTCGTAGCGCCACATTGAAAGGGCAAAAACCGACACACGATGCAATTCTGCGCGAGCGAAAGGCCTGAAAGCACGTTTCGAATTATCATATCGAGAGGCGTGATACAATCGCGATTACGAGAGCTGGTTATATCCTCTTGCGGTTCGATCCTCGTGAACGATTCAACCGGTGACCTGCGCGATTGAAGATCTCGATTGGCGATACGCGCCGATTAGAATGTCGCGGAAACGAGCACGGAGTGACGGCACCGGTCCAGCAATAAAGCTCTCGAAGAGAGCTCGAGACAGAAGCACCGAGGGAACGCGGTAACTTTTAGCGCCGTCGCTTTTTCCTTTTGCTTCTCTGCTCACTCCGGCGACATGTCGCGCATCAATCTACTCGTCACCTCGTGACAAGCAGCCGCGAAATTAGCGCGACGCAAACGCGATCGCCACGGTTGTACGCGCGAACAAGGGAAGCTACATTACCGTTATCGGCGGATCTCGTCTCGTCGTCGGCGAGCACCTCGTAATCCTCCGGCTCCAGATTCACGGGCGGCGCGCCGTCGACCACGGCGACGGCGAGGCTGGTCATCACCGTCGCGAAAGTCACCAAGTCGCGCGGCAACATCACGGCAATCGCGACGAATCGCAGTCGCTGCGACGACAGAGTAATCCTCGGGCAGAATCTCGTTCGCGCGAATCCGTCGTACAAGGGATGCCTGCCGGGTGATCGAGCATGTGCCTTTTCCCGAGGGATTAAGGCGTCCTCGTCATCCTGGACCGCGATCGCGTCGTTATTATATCGCGCGGACGATCAGTAGTTCGTTCTCGCGTCGAGCATAACGCGATTGCAATCGCGGCGGAAAAACAAAGAGAGACTCGCGAATGCACCAGAGAGAACGTCGTCGACACACCACAGCACGTCCCACCTCGACGCTGTCCGACGGCTGACTGACTGACTGACTCACTGTCGCGCCGGTTCGCCGCCGCCGCCGCCGCCGCCGCCGCCGCCGCCGCCGCCGCCAGTCGACTCGCACGCACCCGCCGCCACCCGCTTTCAAGAACACTCGCTTCGGATACTTTTTAAACCGGGCCGCCTGCTGCGGCGCCGTCGTGCGCACCCTCGCCGCGCCGCGGCTCTCTCCTTGTCGTACGGATGCGAGATAATTATCATCACTTACGGGACTACTCCGATTAAACTACAATATCAAAGGCTTTTATAGGAATACAACCAAAATAAGAGTGATATTATAAAGCCCGCGCGCGTTGGATATTAGTGTGAATAATTAATTTTGGGAGGGAGAAGTCTGTGGTAATGTGTGTCGTAAACGCACGCGCGGAACATTTCTCACATACGCTGTGAATCAAACCTTTCACATCCAACTCGATCTTGAATGTCAGTTGTTACATTTTAATTAATTCCTTCTCTCATTTAAAATCCCAATTACGCGTGTATTTTGATTCCTGAAGTTGCGTTTGACACTGCCGAGCAATATTACATTCCTATGAATTAATTATTCGCGCTAATATATAAGAGTACAGAATTACGACGTTTGGTGGCGCGAGGAACGTCTCTTACCAAAAATTACGTTACAATTGTAGTCTTAAGCCCGTGTTATACTACGAGATTGGAGATGGAAAACTGCGGATTAAAGATTAGATTTCAACAAATCAACAAACTTCGGTCTTGGCCTGCTTTGTTCCAATTGGTCAAGTTTCGGTATTCAATGCGCAGTGTGACACGGGCTTTAGAACAAAAAACTGAAGGCTCATTGCATTTATTGCGGATTTAACAACACACAAGTCGACACAAGCCTCATCGCATCTTCGCCATTCACTACATACAGAAGGAATAATATTTGTGCCGAAAACTGTGGGACTAAGGCCAAGTTCCACAACATCCGTTTAATTTTAACTACCAGTTAAGTCCCAATAGTGATTGGTTAATTCTGATTAACTCTTCTTAATGTCAAATGCGATTGGTCAAGTCCAATGGAACCAGTCAGTTAAGTTAACTGAAGGTTGTGGAAAAAAGAAAGACATGGAACGGATGATTTTCGGAAAGATAAAAGAGCGTGTGTAGGAAAAGCGGAGGAATAAATGCCACGGATTATCAGGTAGCGAAGTAATAAAGCACACGGGACTCGATTGTTTTTCCAAAGAGCGGCGCGTCGGCGTGCCACTTACATTAACGACGTTGTATACGTCCAATTGGCCGACGCGCAAGGCCCTCACAAGGCGCGCGTGTGCCAGTTAAGGCGAGTGCCGTGGTGTGGGTGCCGTTTGTCGGCGGTACGTCGGTGGGAACAGCGGAACGTAAGGGGGATGGTGGCGCCTGAGTCCTGCGGCGGGACGCCACAGCCGAAGTGACGCGACGGCGACGCGTCGCGGCGCGTCGTGTCGTATCGTGTCGTGTTGTGTTGCGTCGCGTCGCGTCTTCTCGCCTCTCTCTCGTCCCTGTCGAAGATCAGCCGCGTTAGTAACGCGAAATCTCCTTCTCTTTTTTTCTTCTTCCGTCACAATGTGCGCGCTCTTGCTTCTTGTTATTGTTCCCCGCTAAAGTCTAAATGCAAGGCTTTAAATAGCGACATAACGCGTCGTTGTTTCAGCCGAGCGTTAGGGAGAATTCACACCTTAGCAGAAAAGCAGAAGCTAATCACAACTGGCGCTAGTAGAAAAGCAGAAACTGTTGATTATCACCTGACTTGATCGCGAGTTCTGATTGCTTTCTGCCTTTTATTCAAGAGTTCAAGGTGTGAATTCAGTTTAGGGGGAATTTGCATCTTGGCAGAATACCGAAAGGCAGAAGCTAATCAGAACTCGCGCTGCTGGTCAGGTGGTAATCGGTGGTTTCTGCTTTTCTACCAGCGCGAGTTCTAGCGAAGTGGTTAGCTTCTCTGCTTTCTGTTCTTTTGCCAAGGTGTGAATTCGCCCTTAGGCAATTGGCAATCCGTTCTTTTGCCGCGGTGCAGAGCGCAGCAAGCCCGCTTGGATTTGTTCTCATTGCAGCAATACATCTGCTCGTTACGCGAAAGAGCTCGAGGGTAAACACACGATTCAGCAATGATTTAGCGCGACGGATTCGGCACGCGCAAAATAGTCGAACGAGGAGCGCAGTCTCGTTTGTATGTAGGTCGGGATCATTCTGGGCAATTCTACTCACACGAGCATTTATACTCTCATATATATTTTACCGATACAAAATGCATTGTTTACAGCCAAAATTGGACACTTCTCCCTACCGTAAAACCGCAAAGAACTGCATGTTAAAGTCACAAAAGCATGTACCCCGACTCGTTTTTACGCACACCCAATTAATTGTAACTGCCTAATCTATACCTACGGACGTGAAAGTTCTTAGAGAGCCACGTGTACATTGAGAGAAAACGTATCTAAAAAATCACAGATATTTATTCGGCGGTTACTAATAACATGTTAATTCGGAATTCTCTTGCTTAACTAGAATAAACGCTTGCTTTTCTGAGAAGCTAAGGTTCCAAGTAAATATATACTTCTTATTTGAAAACTACTTTATCTCTAGTACAAAAATGCATTAGCAAACATGTTATTAGTCTCTATTGAATATATATATATATACATATATTTTTTATTTCTTAGATATTTCCTCTCCCACAATATAGGGAACGTGTATAGCGCACATTAGCGCATCCTTCAATTTATTCACGTGAATTTATCACGTTGGATGTGGAATTCCTCCGTCACGATGACGTTGCGCGTACGTTATTCGTCGCCGTGTGCGTACGTACGCGTGTGTGCTCGGCAACCTGGAGAATGACTAATTACGTCGAAACGCGTCCGGGCACCTGGCCGGGCCAGTGGTCGGCCCGTCGAGGGGCCCCTCGTTCAATGGCAGTCGAGAGAATTCGGGCCGCACGGTTTAGCTGCCGTTAGTCATAGCCATGTGTAGAACAAAGGATGGCCAGCGTGGCGCTCGTTCTCCCCCTCAGGAAGCTTCGTCAAACACGCATCGGCTCTCGCATCCCGACTCGTCCATCACGCGGCTGACGTGGCTCTTTTGGGACCTCCCCCGCGGTATCCAGTAATTCCTAAATAAAGATAAGCGGAGTCTCGTTATATGCAGCGGCACGCATAATTTAGAACGACGTCTCGAGGGGTCCCTCTTTCGCCCTCCTCTCCTTCTCCTCTCCTTCTCCTCTCCTCTCGCGTGTTACGGAACGGATTATAATGAGTTCGGCTTTAACGAGCCGAATCTCGCAATCTCTCCAGATCGAGATCCATCGACGCGTCGCGATGCGATGTACTTCCGCGAGGAAGTACATTATTTGTTATTATATAGGTCCCAACGCGTTCGTATAAAATAATATTATTACCGTGCAATATTGTATCGCTTACGCGCGCGATCCGACAGCCGTCGTGCCGGCGCTACTGCTGGAACTTGAAAGCTATCCGGCGAGCGCGTAACAAAAAATCGCTTTAATGCAGACTCGGCCGGCCGGCCTGTCGGCGGCAGTTATCTCCCGCACGGCCGGCTTCTATTTATATTTTCTGTTCGTTAGTCGATCAGCGGCATACGATCAAGGCGAGAATTATATCCGCGAGCGAGTGAGTGAACGCGCGTGTTCGAGAGCGATTCTAACGTGAATAAGGCATTACGCGCACAATGCTGAACTTCTTTTTAACCTTTCTAAAATCTTAAACGACAAGATGGATTCAACGAAGAACCCCGTTCGATGTATATTTTTCGATGCAATCCATTGAAAAATTCTTGTAATATGTTTGCATAAAAAGTCAAACGTTGCACTGGAAAAATATTTTGTACTATCAAAAAATCCGTTGAATTACTCTCTAGTTGTCCTAACATAAATTTTTATATGCAGGAGATATAGATAAACTCAAAAAATGTCGGGGTCATACGTGACGTCACTTTGTTGTTTACGTTCTAGAATTTCACCTTGTTTAAGAATTAAAACGGATAAGTCTGCAAGCCCGTGTGATAATTTTCTCTCGCAACGATGAACGCACACTGATACTTTACCTATATTTTCATTCATACGATTCCCATCGAAGGAAAGACCACAATTATTCCACGGAATCATGATGTAATCGAGACTCGCGTTCGCAATTAATTTACATTGTTCATTGTATAACGGTTGCTCCTCAGAAACCTGCAACACGGAATGTTTCGATTAAAATTTCCCAATCCTAATATTAATTAGTTTGATCAATATCAAAACTTGCTTCTCTTACTTCTTATTATTCCGACGAATCGCGGAGATTAATCGACCTAATTAATCTAGCACAATTAAAAAGAGATTGGTGAATTGATGATAAATTAATTCGCTTCAACGTAATTTACAAACTTTCATCTTGTCTTCGCGGTTACCCTGATGTGTGCGCGTGTTTGTTAGTACTTCTCGCACATGCGAGGAATAGACACACGAGTGTTTAAAAGCGGATTCGTCGTGGTGCCGAGCGTTGATTTGCAGCGAGCTTCCTGCGTATAAATCGCAATCAAAAATCAATTCGACGCGCATCGCGCCGTGAATTCCACTACGCTGAAAACCGGATCTCGCCTCGACTCCCTGCAGGCTTATTCGGTTGTGTCTAACGGGGACCGGGAGCCGTGAGCGATGCGATGGGAAATAATCCTTTGACATACGTAACGCGTGGAACTAAAACGATCGTTAACGGCACAATGGTCGAAAGAATCAATTACGAGCTGAGGACTCCGTTTGCGGCGATGCATAATCGATCGGATCATAGATCCGATGTCTCTTCTTCTTTCTCTCTCTCTTTCTCACTGTCGTTCTGAGGCGGGAGAATGATATTGAAATTTCAGGTGGGTTCGAATGAATTTACATTTAAATGTAACCGCAGACAGCGGGTCTGGCGGTAGTTATTGTCAACTGTTGACGGGTGTTGATGTCATGTTTTCCCACTATGTTTCAAAGTTTGACAGATTTGTTATGTGTGTTTGAGCCCAGATCTACAATGTGCTCCTTGCTTCTTTCTCTCGATCTCTTTCTGACTTAAACCTTAGCCCAGATCTACAGCGTGCTCTTTATTTACTGTTCTTTTCTCTTTGATTTTTTCTGACCTCAATTTTCAGCCAGAAGAAGATAGAGAACAAGAAATGGGAAGCAAAGAGCATACATTGTATAGAAAAAGATAGAGAATAAGAAACAGACAGCGAATGACACATTGTAGATGTGATCAGGCTTTAGACGTAAAATATTCGATCATGTCTCACACAAATAATTCTCGTTCTTTCTCTCCTTTCTCTGTAAATTTATCTTCACGCGAAATATTTTACAATGCGAAATTCGATCGATATATTCGACGTTATTAATCTAATATATTCGACAACAACCGACTAAAATAAGACATCTTATCGACTCTTTCTGCGGGCGTTCGATAAAAAAAAATAAATATTCGTAAGAATAAAAAAAAATAAACATCCCTCTCGGGAGTTATTTACGACTTGGGCCAATGGTTTCTCTCGGCGGCTATCATAATTTATGGTCTTTACGCTATCGTATAAAATAATATTTGGGATAAAAGCGAATTTATTTTTTGCTTTAGTGGCCCGCTCTTAAATTCGTCCTTTTATCTCATCGGCCGGTGCGTTTAGCGATTGTAAGAGCGCCGCGTTACATTTCCACGATACATCTACGGAGAATCCGAGACGGAGCCGTGGGCTTTCGATCGATTCACCTTTATCGCGTGAAACGCGAAGAAACGGCCGGGGAAGAAATACGCGCATCCTGGAAGCCGCGCCATGCTCCATCCGCGTGTTTCACGATAAAAAAAAGAAAATAAGGACATAAACTAACGACGCGCTCGCCGAGGTGTATATGAGACGGCGCAGCGAACCGAGACATTCCCGAACTCGAAAACCCACTTAACCATTCGGAGGACGAAGATTAGAGGGCAGACCACTCGAGGGAGCCTTCGTGTTCCCGCTATCTACGCCTTTCGGGGCCCGGAGACCCGCTGATCGGGCCCTTAACCGGAAGGTAGACTGATAAGAGGGCGGCTCGTGTGGCTCTTTTAGTGCTTCGTCGACAAACTACTCTGACGAAGCACGATCGGCCCATTCGAAGAAGAAAGAAATCTTGCGAGCGGATAACGCGACGAGTGGGCCCGAAATGCGAGAATGTTGTCAATTAGGCAACTAGAAAAGAAAACACCGACGAGACGCGTGCAAGTATGTGTGTAAATGCATACTAAGAATTTTTTTTTCTTGTCTCTCTCTCCCCTCCCCCCTCTCTCTCTCTCTCTTCGTCCTTCTTTCCGTCCTTCTCTCTAGAGTGCACTAATCGTTGAATGTAACATTTAGTAAGATGTTCAGATGTTTCGTTTTTCCCAGGATAATTCCAGTTTTTCATGTTTTCCAGTTTTCTTTGTGTCGGACCTTTTTGAATGTGCTATCCCGATTTATCCCAGATTAGGATGAACTATCCTGTTTTTCCCGGTTTAGGAGATTTTTAAAATCCTCCTGGCAGAGAAAAGACTTGAAAAGAATTTACCGCTCTGATAAATACAATAGCTTCGCTTCTTCTTAATTTTAAGTAAGGATAACAGAAGTTTTATCTTAGCAATAATTAATATTTTTACTCTAATATATCTATATATCTAAAAATCTATGTGGTCTTTAGCGAGACGGTAGAGGTCTTTTTTGTTCAAATTGACCTGATGTAGAAGTGTGTGCAACGGCAAGAGGAATGTGCAATGGCAGACGGCGCCACTACAGCTCATTTACCATATCGTGTGTGATTATTCATCCTCCTTAATTAATATCTCAAGATTTATTGCGAATATCGCAAAGACCTTTATGTTCACCTCAATCCGTTCTACGTTCCCACGAATGTTGCGGAGACGAATCTGGGACACCCTGTACAAATGTCCCTGATTTAGGCCTGGGAAATCTGGTCACCTTACATTTAGAATACTGCCGATCGGCGAGATTGTAACGATATACGCGTGTGAGAGAGATGTTATGCGCACACGTACGCACAGATCGATTGTGGCTAAGCGATACGATCTTTTCGCGCGGAATCGTGAGTATCCGTAAACGGGATTCACGGCCGATGTGAGAGAATCGGGTGGAGGGATTCTCATCGTGGATTTGCCGCTCGAGAAAATCTCGAAATGATTTGCCGTCTCACGTGGGAAAAACGAGTCCTGCGACCGCGTAGGTGGTTACTATAAACGCGCACGCTCGCCTCGTGTGGCCTCGATACTCACGATCTGTTACATTACGGGGTGTTCCGCCTCACCCAAGGCTGCTTTCGAATAGATTTATCTCCGTCGAGCGTTAATTATATCCAGCGCTAATTAGCGACAGCACGAAACGTCGCGGTATCGACGCCGCCTCTCCCACAGTGGCGTCACATGTTTCATCGTACGACTTTCGTCTCTTTACTTGACAAGTCTAAAGTGAACTCTTTTAGGAGCGATTTTTCAATAGCAGTTTAAGCGTGAATTTAAGTTTAAACTCTGCTCAGACACAAACAAGTCACACACATAGTTGGAACAGAGTTGAACGCATCATCGAGAGATAAAGGTAGTTTAATATAAAATTATCAGATAATTAAAGTAATTAATCTCTAGTTAATTGAAATTACTAGTTGTGGCATGCGTATTAACCTTCTGCACTCCAAGTGCTAACCTATAATTCTGATATTCCGTTTCACGTGTCTGATCAGTCGACAGTAACAATGAAATTGTACTAAATTTTATTCAAAATAACCAGCTGTTTAACCAGCTGTTTACAAATGAATTTTTTCTATTTAATCTATATACATAAAATAAAGTGTCTGCATCTGTTCCCTATACAAATCCTTTGACTAATTTTGACAAAATTTTGCACAGTTCCTCTCTATAGAACCCCATGGAAAATATAGGCCACATTAAATCTGGAGAAACACCTCTCCCCATGATTTCATCCCCTTGACACTTTAGCTGCGTTCGGGGAGACACTATTTGGCGCTATAAACGTGTTCTGTCTTTGTTATTTACCGAAAGGTGAACAAAGACAGAACGCTTTTAGCGTCTTCCCGAACGCTTTGTGATGACCCGGACAATGTCAGGTAGTGTTGGTTAGTTTAACGATATTTGTGAGTCACGCAAAGGGTTAAACGATCAGTACTGTAAGAGCAAAACATCTCTTAACCCTCTAGCTACTACGCGCCACTAAAGTGGCTTCCCTGTAAGTCATTCTGTGCACTAAGAAAAAAAAATAGTTGGAATAACTATAATCTCACTATATTTTATAGTTTGTTTTGGCCTCAAACATATATTTATAGTTCATCTAAACATGAAGTTATAGAATGAACACAGATTTATAGTCACCATCTTATTACTCTATATATATGGTAAAGCATCTTTTGGGAATATAGTTACATGTACCTATATTTGCCAAATATTCCAATTATATTGACTATATAAAATAGTTAATTTCTCTTACCATTCAATATTTGCTACCTTACTATAGTTTTTATTTCAAATAATTATAATTCTTGGTAAAAATTTTACGGGTCAGTTATACTATGCTCATATTGTAAATATTACAAATATTATGGTAACATTTACTATAAAAATTATATTCCTAACTATAATCTTTTTACTATGCCATTATAGTTCCAAATATCATACATTTTTCTCTCAATGGGACGAAACGCCACTAAAGTGACTTTCCGCTAAATCATTTCTTAGTAATTTCCAAGTCATTATCTCACTTGTTTTCGTGGTTTTCAAAGTTGTGTGCATTTTCGTTCACATGCACACCGCGGCAGAGAAGCCCGTACTGACGATACAACGCCACACTGAGAGAAAAATGTATGATACTTGGAACTATAATGTCATAGTAAAAAGATTATAGTTAGGAATATCTTTTTTATAGTAAATGCCACCATAATGTTTGTAATATTTACAATATAAGCATAGTATAACTGACTCATATAAAACTTTTACCAAGAATTATAATTATTTGAAATAAAAAACATAGTAGGATAGCAAATATTAAGTGGTAAGAGAAATTAACTATTTTATATAGTCAATACAATTGGAATATTTGGAAAATATGGGTACATGTAACTATATTCCCAAAGCGTGCTTTACTATACACATAGAATAATAAGATGGTGACTATAAATGTGCGTTCATTCTGCTATATCTTCGTGTTTAGATGAACTATAAATATATGTTTGAGGCCAAAACGAACTATAAAATATAGTGAGATTATTCCAACTATTTTTTTCTCTCAGTGCACGGCCAGCTTCGCCATAGCTAGAGGGTTAAAAAGCACGCGAACCTGGTGACCACGTAGCAAGACGCCAGGACGGATATGAGGGCCGCGACGGCGAGGACGAGGGCGGCGACGTGCAGTGCCTTGACGCGGTTTCGCAGGAGCCGATCGCCGGTGAGCTCCGCCGAATCCTCATGCTGCCGCACGCCCTGCTGTATCGTCGGCATCGTGTCGCGGCTCGTCGACACTCCGTTCTCCGGTGTGCCGAGGCCTACCGCGGAACGCGCCGGATCCATCACCTTTCTCCTCTCAGGCGTCCACGTGCTCGCGTCCGATCCGTCCGCGGCGTTGCAGTAGTCGTGGCTGTTGCAGCATTTCAATCTCGGCCAGGGCACGCGGACCCACGGGCTCGCCGACGGCTCCACGTTGCTGACCGACCGCGACCTCGTGGCCCAGGACTTGGTCTCGCACAACAACGGCGTGGCGCTCCTGCGTGCATATCGAGACAAAAGTTAATCAAACAAGTCACGCGCCGGGGAATTCCCCGGCTGCAAAATCATCCACGAGTTGCCTAAGGGATTTATTCACTTGAACGAAATGCTTAAAATTGTACGTTAAAACTGTGACTGGGTTAGATGACGTGCGCGACACGTTAATATTTAACATAATATATTTATTGCGTTAAAGCACAGTTGTTGTCAGTTAAAGTTTCATACGATTTGTCTGCACCGTTCATGAGAAATTTAATACTGAATATCTCAATTTAATATTGAATATCGCAATTTTGCACATATAACATTATGGTGAAAGCAATATAGGTGACTATTATTCTAGTATAATTTTGTAAAAAGTGATCCAAACAACCGAACTTATTGCTAATTGTTACATATTAGGAAACACGGTATAGAAGAAAGAATAGCACTTAGTATACTGTTTTTGTGTAATGGTTGATTGTAAGACAGAAAATTGCCGTTTTATACTTTAAGTAGCATTGCACTGAATACAACGTGACAAAGTAGCGTGATGAAATTAGCTTCAAATTAACGTTTATTATTTAGATTGTGGAATAAATATATAAAAACATAATTTTTTGTTTGATATATAGACAATTGATGGAATAGCTATTATGGATAAGAGTATGAATTTTAAGGACGTTTTCAAGCCGTTGCAAAATATCCGAGCATAGTTAGAAGGTTCATAACATGGTGACTTCTATGAAGATCACCGGAAATGACCAATAGTATATTGCTGTGTATCATTAACATACATATAAATATTTACATATAAAACGTAATATAGCAATTGTATATTACCAATTAAATATATAGCCAGGAGGAAGCCAATAAAAAAAGCGATCTAGCGAGTGTGCGCATCACGAAATATATTTACTTATCGTATTTACGTATTTTTGGTGACTCGAACTTGAGTTGTGCATTGAAGTAATAAATTTAATATATTAATAATTTAATTGAGCATTTAATTGACATAATCCGTGAAAATCGGCGTACGGCAGTCGTCGTATTAATATGTCATAAAACGACGAGACAGTGTTCGAGGTTGTTGACGCGATTGACCTGACGATGGGAAACGGTAAGATAATTATTTCGTGAGCCGTGCCGAAACAGCCGTCGCACTTTCCTCGAATGATAACGATAAACAAAAGTTCACGGCACAAAGATTCCTCTTTCCTCCTCGAACAATGGAGGGTCGTCTCCGGTGTCGCCTATCGCACTGTCTTTCGCGATAATACAAAAAGAAAAAAAAAGAAGAAGAGATATGCGTCTCACATCAACAACGTAATCCGGATCTTGTCGCGAGGGAGTCTTGCTGTAACCGCTTGCTCGCAGATGTCGAGCTGGATATGTAATGTTAATAAGGCGCTTAATAAAAGTCGCGGAAACTTTCGGCCGATTATCTCGTCAAGGTTATATGCGCACGCCATGACGCATTCCTGAATTTATATTACGGCGTTGATGAGGCCTATCGCGACCCGACGAATTAAATCCTGTTTGCGAAGAGGCGCAAGACCGTTCCTCTACTCTTACGCCATTTCTGCGCATCGAGCCGAGTTGTTTAATATTCTACCACTTTAATCGACGGAAATTCCGATTTCTTTGCAAAAGTCTTAGATCGCTATTCTTCAACTTAAAGCTAAATTTGAGCATTTAATTACTGTATCAGGTGGATATACAAAATTTGTCTCATTTTTTCTATTAAATTCTTGTAGAATACTGAAAAAGTATTAAAAAAAAGAAGTCCTCGCGTTAGGTGTCTGCGAAAATATACCGAGTCGTTTGTTAATTTATTCATAAAAATAATTAACTTCTAAAGTTGAATAAATATGTTTTCCATTTTACTTGACAAATACACTTGACAGACTTTTGCATCCATCTGGTAATAGTTACCGTTGTAATTACCACTGTGAATTTTTCCGATAAATTTGCGGAGAAACTACTCAAAGTTACGCGCTTTTACTCCAGCCAGATCAGATCAGGATGCGCACACTCATGTGTAAAGCAATTCCGTCCGATATTATTATAGTAATTTGCGTTATACACACTCCGTGCATCCTCTCGTGGTCGTGCTCTCATCGGCCCCCTGTCCCGCTGTCAAAATGAATTCGGTGTAGCAAGAGAATTTGGTGCTGCAAACGTCCACTCCCATCTCCCTGCAGGCTCTGCTCGTGCACGCGCACTTTCTCCCTGCGAGAAGCACAGTCTCGTGTGACAAAGCGCCCCGTCGCGCATTTCACGAGGTATTATTATTGCAGTCCTCGCGTACATATAACGGAGCCCCATGCGAGAAATCCCGAACAATGGGCCAAACGCGATCTCCCCCCGTAGCCCAGTTTCGTGCGACACAGGGCCGAGAATGAATCAGCGTGCAGATGCACGCGTCCGAAAGAATGTTCAATTACCGCGGCGCTTACCCTCGCGCTCTCTCACTCTGCTTCTCTCGTCGCTAACGAGCGTTCCTCGCCAATTAGAGGAGCTCGCCGTCGGCGACGATGATGATGACGAGCGCATGACCTCACTTACCTTCGACCTGCGCGAGACCCGACGTCAGTGACACGATGCACAACGCGGCGAGGTATCCGACGAACGATCGGCCGACGGTCGTCGCTCGGGCAGCGGGCATTTCTTCCTTCCTTCCTTCCTTTCTTTCTTTCTTCCTTCCTTCCTTCCTTTCGCCGATAACGACGTCCGCGGAAGCGTCTCTATCAGGCCGCTACGCGCCGGCCAAAACGACGAAACGCCATATAACCGCGGAAAACGCGTCGATAAGCGCGACGCGCGGGGTCGTCTTATCGGGCCAGAGGACTTTTCGGAAGTGTCTGGAGAAGAGGAGGATGATGATGATGCTGCTGCTGGGAGCGCGGTGAAACGCGACTCTACTACTACTACTATTTCTCTCTCTTTCGCTCTCTCTGGAGCACCTCTAATTTTAGCAGCTCCTCCCACTGAAAGAGCGTCGTGTCGCGTCGCGTCGTGCTGTGTGACGCGCTGCGTCGCGTCGCATCGCACCGTCGACGCTCGTTCCGTTGGACAATTTACTAGCGTATCTATTCTAATTCCGTCATCGGCGGCATTATTATTTGCCGCCGCCAGCGGCGGGTGCCGGCCGGTGCGAGGGGAGCATCGTCGATTTATTCCCGTGCTTTTGGCGCGACGACGACGCTCTTTTTCCGCGGTCACGACCGGCAGTCGCCGCGCTCTTAAAGTCGGCCGATTTATTGGAAGAATAACACACCCGCCGACTCATCCCCGTCTCACGTGCGCTTTTATGTGCTGAGGGACAGGAAGGAAGGGAGAAGAAGGGAGAGAGAGAGAGAGATACGCAACCGTTCCGCGCCGACGATCCGGACGTGTAACGAAGCTTTGACGGCGCCCGATGGCGAAGAGGGTGAGACGCTCCCTCGCCGGCGCCGGCGACTAGAAGTCGGACTCCTCGTTAGCGGAAAAATCGAAGAAGCGCGCCGCGCGATGGAGTCGTCCTCTTCTTCTTCGTCGTCGTCGTTGTCTTCTTCTTTTCCTTCTCCTCTTCCTCTGCTCCTTCTTCCCCTTCATCGAGTATTCTCGTTGTAATCGCGATGTCGCGCGCAACATTCACATTGCCGTTGCATTCGCGTCAGCGAACGATACGATTAGCAAAAGTATCCTGATAGCACACGAAACAAAAAGGATCTTGGACGATAACCGGCTAAAGAAGACAGAGAGTAAAGCAACGAAAGTGGCAATCTTTCGAATGAAAAATGTCCGCGAAGATAATAAAGAAGTCGAAACGTATCTCGCAAATATGACTTGTCTAATAATAGATCATTTTATTTAAAGTTTTAGATGAGAATACTTTCTATATTTCTTGAAGCGAAATTTTACTCGACACACGTGCACTGAGAGAAAAAAATAGTTGGAATAACTATAATCTCACTATATTTTATAGTTCGTTTTGGCTTCAAACATATATTTATAGTTCATCTAAACATAAAGATATAGCAGAATTAAAACAGATTTATAGTCATCATCTTATTACTCTATGTATATAGTAAAGTACGCTTTGGGAATATAGTTACATGTACTTATATTTTCCAAATATTCCAATTGTATTGACTATATAAAATAGTTAATTTTTCTTACCATTCAATATTTGCAAACTTATTTTATTTTTTATTTCAAATGATTATAATTCTTGGTAAAAGTTTTATATGGGTCAGTTATACTATGCTTATATTGTAAATATTACAAACATGCTGAAATTTACTATAAAAATAATATTCATAATTATAATTTTTTTACTATGCCATTATAGTTCCAAGTATCATATATTTTTCCCTCAGTGTGGAGTGACGCGAAACTCTAGTTGAATTCGAACGATTTTTCACCCATATGAAGCGAATTCTCCATTCAGAGCCGTCGAGTTGATATCTTCGCCGTGAAATTAAACTGAATTAATTTTACAGAGTCAAAATCACACTGTGAAATTAGACGGAGTTAACACGTTCGCTACCACTTACGGAATTCTCTCTACAAGCTACATTATATTTATTTTCATATAATTATGCAAAAGAGTCTGTTTATATGTGAATGTACGGAGAAAAATTTAAGTTATATTACGCATGTTAGTAGCAAACATGTCAATTGAAAATTTGAATCAGAGATGAGCTTGAAGTGAGAGATCGGTGCACCGAAAAAAAACGCTTAAAAATTTACTTGTGGCACGTAAAATTTATATTTTGATGAAACGAAGTTTATTTTTGTAAAATAAAATTTATTTTCGCGTAACAAGCTTTCATGCCAAAAATATATTTTCAAGCGTTCTTCTCTCAGCGTCACACATGTGCGACGCTAGTGGCGACGTGTCAATTTCATTGAGTTAAAATCACTGTGAAAAAGATTCGACCGAGTTAATTTTTCATCGATGTGTGCTCCACTGTCACAGTAACAGGCTTACTCTAATTGATTAAATTATCCGTTTGTACGGAGTGGGACCACTCAAAGCTGAAACTTTCACTCTTACGACTCCGAACGACAGTACTGTCGCCTTGAGTGAACTCTGTTCACTCGTTCTGGGAAACATTTTAAATAAAACAGGCTCTCATGATACTCAGATATTTTTTTTTTCAGAGTTCTCGCTCGCTGCTATTTCGCTGCCTGCAGTTTCAAGAGGTGGATAGACAGGCTGACATGGTTGTCACACAGGAAATCAGACCTTCGCCGGGGGGAACTGCGCATTTTTTTTTTTCCATTTGATCGACGCTCAATGACTCAATCGCGGCGCGCAGACATTAGCTGTTGAAACGCAGCAGACGGGAGTCGAATTCCTCGCTTGGTTTCCTGTGCATGCAACATTAACCAGAGCCCCCGCTCGTTGCACATTTCTTTATCGGCCTCTCCGTCGAGAGACAGTAAAAGCCGAGTTGGGTTATCGGAATGACACTCGGTTACAATTTAACGAGGTCGCGTCGGCTGTTCTGCGGCTGCTTCTTGTTGCACGGACGGATCGAGTGTCCGCGAGTAAAAAGGCTCTCGCCGGGCCAACAGGGATGTCTTTCACGTATGGGCAATTTGCCGAAGTGTATTAATCGACCGTTCAGCCGCTCGTTCTTTTCGCGCTGTGTCGCCTAACTTGCGCGACTTGCGCGGCGAATTTCGCAATTCTTACATTGCAGGTTGCGACAATGAGCGAGAATTCGAGGGACGTTGGACACGTAGTACGAAAAAGATCCCATACAGCACAAAATGGGGACGTCCTACAGATGTCTTGAGGATGTAGAAATGTCCCCAGGACGTTCTCAGGACGTCTCCTGGATATTTGTTAGGGATACTACCATCTGTTAAGAAAATCCTGATAATTCTGACGAACAAAAAACTGGTTCGACCAATTCTTCTAAATTTTTATTTCTTCTAATTTTTAGTTTTCAAGAAAGCATCGAAGCAGTCAGTGATCCCACTGTGTGGGGTCAAGTAAAATTTTGTTTAAAAAAAATTTGAACGATGCCTTTTTTCTTTTTCTAATAAAATTTAAAAGAATTTGTCCAATCAGATTTTTGTCTTGCTTACTTTTCTCTAAGGACCGATTGTTCCAACCTCTTGGTAAGCTAATAGTTAAATCATATGTTTATCTTTGTCTAATTGGAAGGAGAAACAGAGAAGGACGTATGAGTTAACTATTAGCTCACCAAGAGAGGTTGTAAAGATCCTAAAAGAAAAAAAGACGCTCGGAAAAAGAGAAGAGAAGAAAATCAAACGCGAAAACGAATGCGACGTGTGCAAATCTTCCGACGATCTCGATTGATGTGCACGACAATAAGAACGCCAAGCGAGAGGCAATGTTCGAGCACCCGAGAAATAAATAAAGTGGTGTCGTGTTAATAACGCAGAATCATTATTTTAATTAGTCGTTAATTTGCTACAGCGCTGGGAGGACGGCAAAAGACTGCTCGGCGGAGAGGAGCGAGGGAACTCGGAGGACGCGGGGAACCGCTCGCGGGGGAAGCGGGCCATTTCTCCGAGAGCGGGAGCGTCCCTTTTAATTAGCTTCTGGACTCTTACTCCCGTCGGCGCGTTCGGGCACGATCACGCACCGGTGCGTCTTCTTAATTGTCGACGAGAGTTGCGCCCAGTCGCGGACCGACGCCGAGAACGGGTTCCGAGCAGGTTGCTTGCGCGACGTGGGGAAACGCGCACCGAGGGGAGCAGCGGCTGGAGGCCGTGTCGCTCTCCTGGATATCGTCATCGCGCATACATTGAGAGAAAAAGACGCTTCATCTAAAACTAAAGTTACAGTCACTTCTGGCTCCACGACCGTATCTTTCGGCTGCACTAACGCGAAACTGGTAGTAAAGTGACACGCACGCAAGATTAGTATGTCGCTAACATTACAGTGGAATCTTTAACAAAAAAGAAACAATTCACTTTGATCATAATTTATAATAATTGTTTCTCTGTGTGTGCGATCATGCGTAGTTACAAGTAGCAAACATTTTTTTCTCAGTGTATGTACGCACACGACGCTCGGGACGGCCGGTGAGATGCTGTCCGAAAGAATACGCGTTAATCGTTTAAATCGATCAAAGCCGGGCGAAATCACTGCTGAGACGCGACGAACCGGCCGAGGCCTGTAATTCTCACGTAATGGCTTCAGGAAAGATCGTCGCTACCTCACACACATGTATGCATAAGCACACACGCATACACAACGGTCAAGCGTCGGACGTCTTGCATCTCGCGCGCGCGCGCGCGATTTCGATCGGCAGATTATCGTAGACGACGCGAATAAGCGATCGGCTGGAATATCGCGCTACTTTCGCAGCGAGAGTAATGAAAAGATAATCACGGTAATCGATTGACCTCCCTAATTGACGTGAGGGAAAAATCGCCGCGATTTCAGCTCAGCTGAGCTGCTCGTCGAATCGTGAGTGTATTCTCGTCGCTTTACGCTACTTTAGCTTCACTGATCCGTGACCGGAAAATATCGCGAGGCAATTTTTCCATGTTTCTTATTATTCCTCAGTCGCGCTATTCTTTTTACCGCTTACGAACGTATGCAAAGTGAGACATTTGAAAACGAACTTTGACATTTGTCGGAATATTGTGACAAAAGTGGCGTCACTTCGATACAACTTTCAACTTTTTTACATACATACATACATACACATAGAATATTAGATATATGTCGCGAATACACGGTGTGAGAAATTATTTCATGCGACCTGAGAGAGTCGCAGATTTGTCGGCGAAGAATCGTTGCTCTCAATCCGAGTCGCGATCTCGCGACATCTCAGGAGGATCCGCGGAGATCCTCGCGACGTTCTCATTCTCCTCATCTATTCCTCACGTGTTCGTGACGCATCCCAAACTGCTACCAGCTATTACGCGTAAGCGCAAAGAGTAAAGAGGTGTATTCGAGTTAAGTGTTCTGTAATGACGCTCCCGCGCCGGTGAACGGAGACGAGGGAACGACGTAACGTCGAGATGTGCGTGCCCATGGAGTATATTATCGTGTAGAAGCCCTGAAATACAAGCCACTGGAACGCTTTTTCCGGTTCCCGGTCTCGCGACGCATCGGCGACGAAGAGTGGCGTTCCGTTACGCAACGACGGGTGCTGAAATATAAATCAATATTTTCCACATTTTTCTGTCTCTTTCTCTCTCTCTCAGCAGCGTATAAATATGAGAGGAAATTGCCAGTTCGCGCTACCGTGCGAATGTCCACACGGAAAGAATTTTATAGGATAAAAATTAGAATTCTTATTGCTTTATTTTATCTTATTAAATAGAATTTTCCAACCGAGTAATAAATCGACATTCTATCGCTATTCCTTCATTTCATACACGGAAAAAATGCTCTTATATCAATAGAAATTGCTAATCAATAGAATCGTATCAATAGAAATTGTCAAAAAAATGCTCTTATATCGATAAAATTGCTAACATTGCTGTAAATCTTCTTCATTCAACAGCAATACCATTGAAACTAATACATTATATATTGTTTCGACGACTCAAATATTAATTTCAGTGGCATTGTTGTTAAATCAAAAAGATTTACTCCAATTATAGCGATGTTGGCAATTTCTATCGATACAACAGCACTTTTTTCATGTATGTGTTAATTATATTAGTGTGTTATTATATGTGTTAATTATATTAGAAACTGAAATGTGCTATCAAAACACTTGCTATGTTTTTAAATTTACTACGTTCCTTAGCAAGACAGTCTATTTTCCCGGACTACCACAAACATAGTGAATTGAAGAGAATTTATGTAGAAAGAAACTATTTAACATTCTTTCCGTGGCGCAATTATCTCATAATTCGACGAGCTCCTCTATCGAATTTATCAATTTTGTCTCATATAATCGCTCGGCTATGTAACATGCAACTACCGCGGATAGGGATGATTGCGAGAGAAAGAGGCAATAATAATAACAGAAATACAATATAGAAATAAGAACAGGAGATACAATATAAAATACAGAATACAATACAAAATATAGGAACGATACAATAACAGAAATACAATATAGAAATAAGAACAGGAGATACAATATAAAATACAGAATACAATACAAAATATAGGAACGATACAATAACAGAAATACAATATAGAAATAAGAACAGGAGATACAATATAAAATACAGAATACAATACAAAATGTAGGAACGATACAATAACAGGAGAACAATAATAACAGAAGAAAGACTTCGTCCTTATCTTACTCATATGCGTGACGCCCGGCTGCGCGCCGATCACCAGCGTTTTTCTCTGCGACGACAACGTCCCCGTCGAGGGAATTATACTTATAGATATTTGATTCTGATTAGCCGCCGGCTGATTAAATTGGTCATTCCGTATGTTAGCGTTGACATGTGGATTATGACGGAATGGAACACCTTGAATGTTATGTCTGTAATTACTGACTACGTAGCTGCTCACCTGGTTGGCACAAAACGAATCGGAAAATTTCTTTAGCACGACGAGATTAATCACGGCAAAACGGCGGAGTCACTACGAAGTTATCTCTCTTTTCTTACACACAGAGTGGATACAGTCGATATATTACGTTAAATTCGCGCTTTACATAGGTCTGTATGACGTTAGAAAATGTAGAACGCACACAGTATGCCAGCGATAGGCGTCTAAAATATGTATAAAGAGCACGTTATGTCATCGCGAGAGAGAGAGAGAGAGAGAAAGAGACCTTTTAAAATTTCAACGTCGTGACAGCGTCTGTTTTAAAATACTCCACCGAAAAAAATTCGACGTTAACGTAATATACTGTCGTGCGATACTGTAACACGACACGCTCAGTTAAGCGCGTGTCATACACAAATTCGATTCATTGATTTACAAGTGTATGCTCACCGAAGAAATGACAAAAACAGTGACTAAAGCAATGCCGAGCCAAAAGTACCAGGTTTCCCAGAGGTGACGTGGAGGCCGTCGTTGCACCACGAAGCAACACTGCGAATTACAACAGCAATATAGGCAATATCTCTCAGGAGTACATGCGTACGGCCTGACGATCGTGCTCTCGTTTTTCAATTCCAAGTTACACTCGTAATAGAGACGTGCCATATCTATCGTAGCCTGCCTCGCATAATCCCCATGCCCGTTGCATGTAGGATAATTAAAGATTCATCCGTTCTGTGTGACCGTTCATGTTTCCATAACAAAGTGTTCGAGTGTGTTCAACGAGCTAGAGAGTAACCGGCGACAACGGGTCGATGAGGGAACATTGTGTCGATCGGGAGTGATCTAAAAAAGATCTAAAATGAATGATGATCTAAAAAAGAAAAAAGAGAGAGAGAAAGGACGATGAGCGATTTTCGGGAGCGCGTTTCGTCGGCTTCCCCCTCGGCTGATATCTGTGTTTTACTCACCGAATTGATATCGCGACACCACGTCGTCACGATGTATCGGGTACGAATTATATTGCAGTAACGTCTCTCTTTGGACGACGGCGTCACTTCTGTTCGCTTGACGTGCAGCGGACTTCGAGAGGCACAACCAGGCGTCTTAAAAGGGCGTTGCTCAACGGTGGACTTCGTGTCCGACTAATGCTATCATTGACCGCGAGCCGGACAAGCACGAAATAATCGATAGAGCAAACGTAGTATGTACATCGCTAGTATGTTCACGCATCAGCACCGATCGATACAAAGAAGTGACAGAGAGAAACGCGATTATAATTAGTACTTCATTCACCGCGCACTTCGTGCGTCACTCTAGCGTCCGACTGTGTTCGATTAATTGCCATGTATTACATTAATTACAAACACATAATTAAGATTAGCTCGTTAAACAATCACTATTCAAATAATTAATCTATGATCGACACAATAAATACATTTATTCGTATAAGGAGAAATCGGTTTTATAAAAAATGCTGTTAAAAATGACAGGCCGAAGGGTTCGTTACATTTTTCCTTTTTATACAACTTCCGTAGACGAATTCGCCGATGATACGAGAATATGAGCATCCACGCGAATAGAGATAAGACTGGAACATTAATATTGGCTGTTATCATGCGGGGGTGGCGGCGGCGGCGGTCCTCTTGGCGGAAAAGGCGGGCGAAATTGAGGCGGGG